AATAAAATAAAATTAAATTAAAAATTACAAATAAAAAAAAAAAAAAATTGTGTCCCTCTGTTGGAACCACACCTCTGAAGGGTCATAGAAAAGGAAAATTATGAGGTATTTCATCAGGGGCATTTGATTTCCTACCCGGTGTCAGCTCTGGAGACTGCTGCCTAGGTAACAAGAGAAACTTTTAGGTCCTAGGGGCTATTAGAGGTTTTATTTTCCTTTATTGTATACTTTTTTGCTAATGGAATAGGAAAACTCCTATGGACAACTGCTTCTAGCTGGGATGCCAATGTCACTCCAGTGTTACCAAAATAAAAAACTCATCAATACAAAATACAAACACAGTGTACATGCTGCAGTCTAGAAGTATTCTACTGCCACATAACTGCATATAATCACATACGTTTGAAGAAAGTTTTTGCATAACACAAATATTTCCTTTAGAAAATAAATACTTCCCTTCATCACCAAAGGTGATTGTCAAAACCATCCCCTGCTCACTTACCTAAGATTTGGATTATACATCGAATTCATTTTGATCTCTCTATTCAGGCAGTTCCCGCTGTTCCAGTGGCCGTTCAGACTTATCACCAGGACCCCAGAGCCACCCTTACCTCTTGTTAGCATCTAAAGGCCAGGAGCCATACTTCAGTCCACAGAGGACGTGCTCCACACTGATTTATACCGGTAATTTCCTACACATCTTCAGAGAAAATGGCTTGTACACTATTTCCCATGCTTAAGATAATATTACTGTCTCAATAAACAAAATAAAACAACAACAAAAAAAAGAAATGGTTTTCCCTATTGCCATTGTGATGCTTAACACTGGACCCTCATCTGCCTGCACTGGCCTGGCTTCATTTTCTCACGAGTTCCATTTTGTCCTGGCCAGTTCTGCTATCATTTCTTGCCAAAGCAGTAGATAAGGTCAGCACATGTGTACAAATACTTGGCATAAAGCCCCAAGCAGTTTTCTTGGGATTGGTATTCAGCTGAGCCACAAGGATCTTAAATGCCTGGTGTGCTGCTTGGGTTGAAGGATAAAAGGAAGATCCAGGGAGAAGAGCTCAGAGATTTCTGAGCCAGAAACCCAATCCTCCGGGTGCAGGCTGGCTTTCCTTTGTATCTGAAATCCGACCAGGGTGCTGCCAGGCTACTTCTCATTCAGAACTATTTTTAAGGCGCCCATACATTCCATAGCACATACTCTACACACCGCTCTCAACAGACGCGAGCCTCTCAGCAGATTTGATGGGAACTGTGGGAGCAAAGTCAGGGACAAATCCAGTCCACAGCCTGAGGGTCTTGCCGGTATCTGCTGAGATGAATGCGCAACAGGAGTATCTGTCCTTCTGAAATCTGGTTTTGTTTGGAGCACTTAATTTCTGTGTGGGCACATTAGTGAGTGCTGGGTTCTGACTTCTGCTTTCTCTGGCTGTGACTGCTTTTAAGAAGGCTGGGCCCAGCTGTCCCAGTGCCTCTAGGCTGAGTGTGTGGTCCAGCGAGCCGCAGCCCCCCTACATGGCAAGGGTGCGTGCCCGTTGCTGAAGACGTCAGAGTCGGAGAATGCAGTCTTTCTTCTTCCCTGTCTTCTTGTTGTTATTGCTGCTGCTGCTGCTAGCTGTACTTTTAACCTGGCCAAATACCCAAATCTTCCAAAGTAAGAAATTACTTTCTTATTTTGGAATATGAAGTCTAAAGATGCATAAGGCAAAAAACATAGAAGCAACGCACGAATGGAACTTGAGAAGCTGATCCTTTCTAAAACCTGCAGCTTAAATGCAGAAAGTTGTTCCTTAGCCTCTGCTGTTAATCCTAGGTGTCCTATCCACCTCACCTGAGGAACTTGGAGCAAAGAGCTAAAGGAAACTCACACACGTACAGGCATAGCTGGTGTGAGGTCAAAATTAGGTTGTTTACAGGGCAAGGTAAGAGGGAGTACAGAGAACGGCCAGCAGCACACACGGCTTCATCCTCGGTGCCCATGTCTGCATGCCTTCTCTGGGAAAGGAGTCCTTCCGCTGGGCGATGCTTCCACACAGGCAGCTCCGCTGCTTCTGTGCCCCACTAGTTTATGGAAGCTCTGTGTGCCCCGCTAGTTTATGGAAGCTCTGTGTACTGGTTCTGTTATAGCCTCAGAGGAAAGCAACTGTTTGCAATGAATTCAGGAACGTTTTACTTTGAAGGATTTTAACAGTTCTCCCTAGAATGGGACTTACACAATTCTTTACCACAATGTAATATTCAAACAGCCAACTAGTAAGGCTGTCTGAGTGACATCACACCAGGACCGAGGCAGACATCTGTGCTGATCCAGCAGCTTCCCGAGACTGCAAGGGCTCCTGTGTGGCTCTTCTATTTGAAAACCCTACGGGGCACAGCTCTACTCTGACACACACGGGGTCACCACGAGTGGGCCCAACGCCAAGGCAAGCGGTATAGTAAAAAGAAAAACTAAAAATATGTCCAAGTGGCCCTAGAATATGTTTTACTTTTTAAAAAAGTATTTTAAAATATAATGTGTGTTTGAATATATAATTGAATTTTCTCTCCTGTGTGGAATGCCTTAGTGAATAAAAAAGTCAGCACAAAGAATGCCTGACTCCTAATTAATGCTACTTCCCCTTCCAGGCAACGATGCTCCCCAAACCTCGCCTTTACTATGAGGTTTTCTTTTTTCACTTTCTCATTAACAACTACAAAATTAAAGGAAACTAGACAGAGGTTTAAAAGAAGAAACATCCCATAGCAAGAGAGCTGGCCGTACAATTTGTCCCCATGGACAGTGGGGACCTTGTTGGTGTGTGCGGGCACAGCGGAGACCAGTGCTGACCACCCGCTGCCACTACAGAGTGACTTTCTGCCTTACGGGGGGGCAGAGCATTGAGCCAGGCCGTGGAGACTGCTCTGGACCCAGTTCTGTCACCAGCCAGCTGTGGGGCTTACTGCCCAGTCAGTCTGCGTCTCAGGCCTCACCTTTGCAGAGTGTGGGGATTACTGTAAAGATCTGATGTTCCTCCTTAGCTATCCTGTTCAATGACCCTGTGCTGCCATACGGCACCAACTGTGCTAATTCACCTCTTGTTGTTATTGTTAGCTGCTGTGGAGTCAAACTCATGCACAACAGAACAAAGACTGCCCAGTCCTTCGCCATCCCCTTGATCAACTGTGGATCAGACCTTAGAAAGGAGATCACCAGGCCTTTCTTCCCAGTCCATCTTAGTCTGGAAGCTTCCCTGAAACCTGTTCAGCATCCCAGCAACATGCAAGCCTCTGCTGATAGGTGGGTGGTTGCTATGCATGAGATGCACTGGCTGGGAATCAAACCTGGGACTCCCGTGTGGAAGGCAAGAATTCTAGCACTGAACTACCAATCCACCTCTTAGGGAGGTTCCTCTTCCCACAATATTCAGTTCCATTCAACTAAGTATTGTTCTCTCCCCAAATCACTGCCGGCTGCTGAAGCTATGCAATACGTTCATGTCTGTGGCAAGCAATGGGAATGCTTATCCTTGCCCCAGGTTAAATACCCAGGATCTGGGAAGAACCCGGGGGTTGAGAGTTTGACTAAACAGGTTGAGGGCACGTGCCATGCCCTGAATGACAATGCACATGGGAAGGAAGCTGCAGTTCCTGGAAAACGTGTAGCAAAGAGCAGAGAAGCTGCGTTGGAGCCGTGATTCTGGTACAGGACCAGGAACCACTCCGTGGAAAATGAGAAAGGGCCACGGTGGGAACGGCACATTGGTCCCATGACTTGGGAGAGCCTGTGACACCCTTTCTCTCTTGGTGGGCTTCAGTGGCAGGATGTTTTGTCTAATCTTCACTGTTCATCATACTTAACATTTACACAGCATTTAGCACTTTAAAAAGCACTTTCAAATTCAACAGCTCATTTGCTCTGAGAATCATCTACGCTTAACTGTAAGGCAGGCCAGGGTATTATTTTTCCTCTCATTTTACAGATGAGAAAACAGAAGCCAGAGTCTTACGACTTGTCTGAAAAACAGGGCTTGTAATGGACCCAGCTGGGCCAGCCCTGGTGCGAGATGCCCACACCCGTGCTGATTCCACTGCAGTGCAGTGCCTTCACGAGCAGGAGTGGGGTGGCATGATGTTAACTGAAGGGTGGCAAATACCTCTTCCTGAGGCTTCCATCCTGGAGATGGATCATCCAAGCCACCTGAAATGTGCATAACTGAATCTGCTACCACCCAAGCAACCAGCATTCGCAGAGGAAGACGCTGTGTGGAGCCTGGGCGAATCAAAGGTGCTTACTGTGAAGCTTCCATGGAGTGAGGAGACACGCCCACCCAACAAACCCATAGGGAAAATGGTTCTGCAAACTTTTCTTCCTCTATAAAACCTAAGAACACCTCACCTGCACCTTTGGAGCGAAAACAGTGACACCGCTATGCTGAAATACACATCTAATTCCATGTCCACCGGTATAGTTCAGAAAACATTTTAAAAAATGACAAATGCGTCTTCTGGGGACCACAAGCTCCCAAGGGGCTTACTCTTTTAAGATTCCAGTCTAACCGGAGGGCCGGGGACTGCCCAGGGCAGCTCTTCCAATGCCTGGGATCATACAGTCATCTGAAAACAAGGCCCCGCTGTGGGCTCGGCCCTCCCGCGTGTGGGATGTCTGCTGGCCACACCTCTGGTGTTCCACTTCCTGTCCTCTCAGCGTGGACCTGGAGACCACCTTCTCGGGCGTGCCAGGCCTCTGCCTACCCAGGTAAAGCAGGATGGTGGGACTGCCAGGATTGTTTCTGGATACTTTTCTTGCTTCCACCTAAGCTTTCTTGGGGGCAGTTTTAATGTGATTTTATGCCTAATTGTACAGGTCGAGATGTGACATACCTTCTCCCAGGACAAGGAGGAAAAGCCCCAAATGAGAGACACTGACCCTGATGTCTGGGCAAGGCCGCAGCCCCACAGCCCCAGATCTGGCAGTGGGCCTGCATGCTAACCAGGTCGTCAGCAGCAAACTAAGGAAACAGCGCAAGTGCTGCCCTACTCCAGGGCCTGGCTTTTTGCTGAGCGAGTTCTATTCTGTTCTTAGTTGTCAGATTGCCATGTCTTCCTCATCCCTGCCCTTCCAGAGCGCCTAGCATGCCTCGGAACCAAGTCTGAACGTCCTCACTGGGCCCGAGAAGCCAGGGATCTTTGTCAGTATCTTAGAGGAGTTAGCGTCCTTTTCTAATCTAGAATATGCTGTTCTACAACTGCCAGTACCCGGGCTTGACCACCAGCATCAGCGTGCTGGGAGCGCCCCTCGGAGCATCTGCCTTTGGGTCCCGGGCGGAATTACTTCCACCCAACAGCTTTCCTTCACAGGGCTGCTGACAACTGTTTCATAACAGTGGCAGTGTCTGTGGTGGCTGGAGCGTTATTTACATGGGTTACTATGGCGACAGAGACTGACAAAGATCCCACGAGTGGACTGCCCCGACTATGCCCACTGCCAGAAATACTGTCATCAGTTGAGACGCAGAGGGACAGGTGAAAAGGAAAATCCTAGAAAAACAGTGCCTGGTTTTCCTCCCCACGATCCCTATGAAGCCAGTTAACGCTCACCCGCTGGTCTCCTATTCCTAAAACATGTCCAGGCTGACGGGCCTGCAGACACAGGTTACGGTAGGAGGGCTGCACTGAGCCATGGCTTCTGGCTGACAGAGGTGCTGGCAGCCTGCCCACATCTGCCCCATTAGACCGTCCAGTTCCAGTTGCCTGTGATGGGTCTGGAGCCCAGGGACCTGCCACCCAAATCCGGGTCCTCCTGTTATTTTCCCTTACGCCCCCACAGCAGCTGGCCTTGTTCCTGGAGCAGAACCTTCACGAGACAGCAAAAGAAGGGCTGGGGGTCAGGGCTGGAGGCTGGTCAGTGGGCTGGCCGGCACTCACCTCCAGGCTTAGACAGCTCTTGTCTGTGGGCCTGCAGCGGCTGGCATCCCCGTCGGCTCTGCGGTGCAGCTCTGGGCCGTCTCGAAGGCGCAGGTCCCCTTGTTCCTCCCCGTGGTCCTGGCCGAGCTGCCACTCCATCTGATCTCTCAGTTTGTACTGTTAGGTGCATGGGAGGGATTTTTTTTTTTGACATTGGTTAACAACCCCACAACATGTTTAATCTGTTCCTTTTTTTTTTTTTTTTTTTTTTTTTTTTTTTAATTTTAAACAAAAACAAAGGGCCAGAGGGTAGGAAGGGGGAGGATAAAAAAAACAAAAATGGGTAAGGTACACGACTGAAGAAACTACCAGACGAAGAAAAGCATGAACAGAAAAACCAACTTAAACACAGTGGCATGAGAGAGTGAAAAGAACAGAACCAAAATGAGGATGAGCAAAATGAAGGGCCGAAACATCTGAAAAGCAAAAAGAGAAAGAGGGAAAAAGAATGCAAAACACTCGTTATGAGGCGCATGCAATGAGGGCGCATGAATCAGAAAACCAATCGCAAGCATACTACCCATGAAGGATACGGAAACAAGGCTCTCCTTCCTTCCTGTGGGCCGAGCAGCAAAAGCCAAAATCCAGGGCGGCCGCTGGGTCATGCACCCGAGGGTGATGTGCAGAAGGCAGTCCTCATGGCCTCTCCACTCCTCCTCACCGCTCGGAGGGCAGGAGCAGGAGCGGCCCGTCGGCAAGCTCTTCCATCAAAACCCTCCTTCTCTCGGGACTTGCTCCTCTCCCCCATTCTGGCTTATCCTCAGTGGGAGCGGACGGGCCTGGGCTGCCCAGGGCCCTTCAGAACTGTGCCTTGTCCCTTGTGGTAATAAGACCCAAGTAGGGGTTCCAGTGCTCATTGGCAAGTCTGCTATATTATCCTGACTGTGAAATGAGTTTGTACTTGGTTTTAAATTCCTCGTTGCTTCTTCACCAGGTAGCTGGCTGTCTGACACAGCAAAAAAGAGCAACAATAGACTGCGTCGATCCCTACTGCTTCCATTGGGATTAGCCTTGTGTCCTGAAAAGACCTCTAGATCAAGGGCTGTAGCCCAGTTGAAAGTAAGACAGAAAAAGGTAAAAAGAAACAAGAAAACAAGAGAACTGAAAAAAAAAAAAAAAGAAAAGAAAGAAAGAAAAAAGAAACCCAACCAGCAGAAAGGCTTGGGCTGACACTGTGGGCTTTAGCACAAGGCAGGCTGAAATCATAACCAAGCAGCTGTGAGCAGGGTGAGCTCTAGCACAGCAATGCCAGCCAGCAGGAGGAAGAGCAGGGCAGAGCGGGAAGGCAAGCCCAGGAGCCCCCTTACCTGCAAGTCTGCCACCAGCTCCTTCCCCAGGTTCCCAATGGGGGAGTCCCGGGACATGGAGGTCACAGTGGACAGGAAGCTAGAAGACTCAGTGAGGTGGGGCAAGGGGGCCAGGTCTTCCAGGTGCTCCCTCAGGCTGTCCCCAATGCGGTTCACCTGCTCCAGGAAGGCCTGCAGCTCCTTCCTGAAAGCCTTCATCTTGGAGTTGATGGTGCCCAGCAGCTCGGGCTCCTCCCAGCCACCCTGGACACCAGGCTCGGTGGCCTCGCAGATCAGGCCATCGGTGTCGGTAATGAGGCGCTCCACCGTGCGCCCAAGCCGCTCCGCCTCCTGCTTTATGTTCGCTAGGCACTCGGAGTCCTCTGGGGCCCGCGTGAGCGCGGTGGGGCACGACTCGCTAGCCTCGGAGGCCTTCCCGCTCCCAAAGCCTGACGTCTTCTCGAAGGTCTCCTCCGAGTCGCTCTCTCCTCCGATGGGGCCCTCCCTCTTGGGCTGGGGCAGTCGGCCTTCCTCCCCGTCACTCTCCTTCTTGCCCACGTCACTCTCGGCATCACTGTCCCGGGGGCTCGGGGCGCGCAGCCCCAGGTGCGCGGCCAGGTCGTTGCGCTGCACGCTGGACAGCAGCACGCGGTTCTCGTACTGCAGCTTCAGCACCTTGCCGCTCAGCTCGCTGACCTGCAGCCGCGCCGCCTTGAGCTCCTCCTGCAGCGGGAGGCCCGCGCCCCCGTCCAGCCAGTCGGGCTCCGGCCGCGGCTCCAACTTGAACTTGCTCAGCTCGTGGGTCAGCTGCCGGTTGTGTTCCTCCACCTCGGAGATGGACCTCCTGAGCAGCTCCGCTTCCTCCTCCACAAACTGGAGGTGTCGGCGCAGCTCCGACGAGGACTCGGCCGAGTCGGCGAAGGGTGAGGTAGGAATGCTTGAGGGGTGGTCCCTGCTCACACACTCATGCTGGCCCCTCGCGGCCTCCATCTCGGCCTTGAGGCCTCGGTTCTCCACCTCCAGTTCGACGATCTTGCGGCCCAGGATGTTGGCTTCCTCCTCCACCAGCTTCAGCCGCAGCTTTAGCTCGGCCTCCCTAGTGCTGGGCGGCCCGCCCGCCTCCCCGGTTGGGAGCGGGCTGTCCACGTCGCCATAGAGGGCCTTGTACTTCTGCAGCTCCTGCTCCAGCTCGTCCTTCTCCCTCCCCAGCTTGGCCATCTTTCTGCGCATCAGGGAGGCTTCCTCTTTGGCAAACTGAAGCTGGCACTTCAGATCAGCACTGTCGTCCTGCGGGGAAAGCACAGCCCAAGAGAAGATGATTTGAAAATAGCACGTCAGTGTTTCTGATGATTTCCCTTGCACCTCTCCCGGACACACACACATACACACACACACACACACACACAAACCCTGACACTCTTTCTGTTGGTGCTGCTGAGTTACATGTAGAAAGGAGCTGGGACAAAGCACGGGAAGCTGGGGGCTTTGTGGCGGGGACACACTCCATGCCTACTGCTTCTGTGCTTTGTCACAGAAACAAAAGACACCAAAAATTAGTTTAGAAAAAAAATGCACATTAAAAACCATTACACAAGTTATGAGTGAAGGAGAAAATTAAATGAGGTCCCAACACCCATCCATAATGTGGGGATCCTAATTACTGTGTAGGTTCAACCTGGTGACCTGTCAGCATCAGTAAAAGAGACAGCAGAACCCTTTGCCAAAGCTTCTTGTTGTTAGGTGCCGTTGAGTTGGTTCCAACTCAGAGCAACCCCGTGTACAACAGAACAAAACGCTGCCCGTTCCTGTGCCATCCTCACAATCATTGCTATGCTTGAGCCCATCATTGCAGCCCCTGTGTCACTCCATCTCATGGAGGGTCTTCCTCTCTGTCGCTGACCCTCACTTTACCAAGCATGATGTCCTTCTCCAGGGACTGGTCCCTCCTGACAACATGTCCAAAGTACGTGATACAAAGTCTCACCATCCTCACATCCAAGGAGCATTCTGGCTGTACTTCTTCCAAGACAGATTTGTTCCTTCTTCTGGTATATTCAATATGCTTCGCCAACGCCATAATTCAAAGCAATCAATTCTTCTCCGGTCTTCCTTACTCATTGTCTAGCTTTTGCATGCATATGAGGTGACTGAAAATATCATGGCTTGGGTCAGGCACACCTTAGTCCTCAAAGTGACATCTTTGCTTCTGAACACTTTAAAGAGGTCTTTTGCAGCAGATCTGCCCGATGCAATACGAAGCTGGGTGCAGACAAATGGGAAAGCCGTTGCTGTTTCTAGCCTGTGGCCACTTACTCCCTCTGGAGCACAGAGTCCTCACTCAAACTGGCCAGCAGCCCACAAAGCAATCTAGGATGGGCGGTGTCAGGTGACCCTGAATCGCAGCCCAGCTTTCCACAGATTTGTTGAGGTACCTGAGCTAAGTCAATTCACCTCTCTCCCTCCTAGCTCTCCATCCCCAACTTACCACAAGGATATGAGGACAAAAAACGAGGTGAGATGTAGGAGTGTGCTTGGGAGGTGGAGCCGCTGAGAACCACCAGCTCTGACGGTGTGGCACGTGGGGCCCTAAACCTAAGCGCTGAGGACTCACAACCTTTTGCCTCACAAGTATGACTTCTGAGGCTGTGGTTCCGGTCCTTTCCCATCAGTCACTGTAACACAGCAGGAAATTAAGCTCAGAATCCCAAGGCTAGGAGTTCAGTGTCTGATCTTCTGAGAAGTGGTTCTCATCAGAATACAGAGGATTCTGGAGGGTCACTGAAGCACAGACCCTCTGCTAGTAAAAGCCCACGCCTCTCAGCTATGGTCCAAGAGGCATTTTTTAACAGATTGGAAGGCCGACTTTACACTGTCAATACAGGTCTCAATGCTCTGAGCTGTCTGAACTCTCTGTTTTGGTCTTACACAAATATTTTACTACTCACGCTCAGTGAGTGGGGAAAATGACCAATGTCACAAATCATTCCTGCTGGACTGGCTAGCAGAAGCTTCAAAAGGCTGTCATGGGGACAAAGACTGCACAAAGGCTCCCCTCCCCAGAGAAACACATCAACAGCACACTCTGCAGCGTTCCAACCCCGTCAGTCCCCGGAGAGGAAAGACATGTTGAACTGGGCTCTCCAGGCTGTCAGCCAGTCTCCAGAGGACGTCAGCTCTCCCGGGAGAGGACGTGATTGTCAGATGATTGCTTGTGCTCCACAGTCTGGTCTGAGACTCAGTGCAGCTTTCACACTTGTTCTTGCAGCATGCACCATTGGGCGGGAAGATAGAGAAAAGTCCTCTCTCAGAGCCTCCCAACTCTTCACCTTCCACCCTGCCTTGACCTCTCCTCCCTCACCGAAAACTGATGGAAGGGGAACAAAACAAACAAAATGACGTTGACAAGACTCAAGGAGCAATCTAAGACCAACCATGAAGCTGGTCCCCAAGGCAGGCACGCCCTGGCACCAAGGTTACTGTGAAGGTAAATGGTCAATCACCACTCCAGCACCTGGGATGGACTTTCTTCTTAATACTGGGGAAAGGAGCAGGAGCTCTGCCTTTTTCTCTCTGTGCCTTAGGGGAGTAATACGTGTCATTGGTAAGCAGTTAAGTGTCTTCACATTCTAAGAACTTATCACATTAAAGATTTTGTTTGGCTTTGGTTAGGAAGACAGGAAAACAGTGTCTGTGACTAAGCGGAAGTAAGTCTGCCTGCCTGAGTCAAAACTCAAGAGCAAAATGTGCTATCGTCATGGCTGTGAGGGTCAGGGTCCACTTTCAAAGAGCCTACACAGAGCAGATGGTCTGTAGAGACACACATCATGCTTCATCCTAACACTAAAGGAAAACCATGCTGGCGTGTATGTTGATTGGTTCATTCATTCAGTAAATACTTAGATTATCTACTGTAGACAGAAATTGGCATGTTACTTTTAAACAACCCCAGCTTCCTAGAACTTTCAAAAGCAGAACAATCAAAAGCACTTTTATTTTCTGTTAAAGGTAAGATTTGCAAGAAATCCAAAAACCACAGACAATTCTCCATTGTTCACAAGAAGTCTGGAGTTTAAATTAAGCTGAAATATTTATTAGTGGAGACAGATTTTTAATCCTTTATAAATGAATTCCTTTGGGAATTAAATGCTTGGGGCAGGAAGGCAGAAGGGTCCCCAGCCCCATCACTAACTCTACAGCCATGGTTTATCCACCGTCTAAAATCTCCTAAGCGATCTGACCAACACTTCTGAAGCAGGGAAATGCGTTTTCATGTCTGAGAATGGCAGCAGGAACCCCTGACCAGAACATTCTCCAGCTGCAGGGAAACGGCTCCCCCCTCTGCCCACCTCAAGCCTGGGACACCAACGGCAGACAAGGTGTGGCAGTGGACACTTGCAAATGGAGAGGCTGGTGACCAGGTGATGGCCAGGGCAGGGGAAGTGGAGACAAGGGGCAGCAGCTTTCTACTGAGACCGAGAGTCCTCCTAGTACCTGGAGTCTCAAGCAGAGAGTCTCAGGTGACTTCTCCTGAGGGTCTTCCCCCACAAGTGGAACTGAGCAATCTGGGCAGAGGTAGGATCTGAGAGGCACGTGGAACCTGAGCCTTCCCCAGGGCTCTGACCACTCGGGAGGTTATATGTATTCATCTCCACCCCTTAAACAGACAAACGATCCGAAACAGCCCCCAAGTCACCTAGATTTCTGGAAACCTTAAATGTCGTGCCTACTCCCCGCTCCCACACACACACAACCAGACAACTTGATTTGTCTCAATTTACTTAACTGCCAAAAGGGGCAGTTACAGAAGCAGGATTCCACGACACACCCTAAGGAGTGACTGATTTGTACATTACCTAAGGACTGATAACATGTCCAAAAATGCTTCTTGTTCCTTACAGACAGAGACTACGCAAACACCAGGAACTCTAACACAGGACTGAAGCATGTCCGCATTTCTGCTCAGCACCCAAGCACAACTAGTCCTGCCACCAAGACTAAAGCACCTTCGGAAAGAAAGACAATCTTTGAGCCCAGGGAGTCTGCGTCTCCTTACCAAAGGGTCAGACTTGGTCCATCCGTGGAGAGGCCTGACAGCAGGGCAGGGGCACTTCGGGACTCGCTGTGGGGAGATGGTGGCTACAGGGAAGCCACTCCTTCTCTTCAGACAGGAGAATCACAGCCTCGCTCAAATAGTAGGTGGCTGGATACCCACCTTATCTTGTAATTACAAACTTCCAAAACTCTGCCAAGATTCTAGGGGAAGGGTCTAACCTCTAGTCACCAGGCTGTATCCTAAGCTTAAGAATATCAAGCTCTGGTTTCCAGAGATCAGAGAGCTCCAGGAACACAGGATGAGAGCAGAAGGTCAAGTCAGCTTTCCACATGAACGCTCCCTTTTGCAGGCAGAGAATACAAGCATGGTATGGAGGGGAGGACACACAGGACTGCCATCACCACCACCGGCAGCTGGAAAAGGCCTTGCCAAGCAACAGAAATATATCAGTGTTGAATATATTCTTTTGCTTGCAAGTCTGCTGCCTAACCAGCACCCCAAGCAGGTGGGCTGCTCTTGTTCCTACCTTGCGCTGGGGCACCAGTTTCCTTTGAGCTTTGGCTGCAGACCTGCTGGTCCCAAGGCGCTCCACTCCACCGTTCTGCTGAACAGAAACTCCCCCTCTCAATAACACCGCAGACAGAGCGGAGCAACCTAAACCCTCCCCCTCCACGGTGCACTTCCAGAGCCTTAGGGGCGAGGCTTAGGTCAGCCTGTTCCACCCACTAACAGGTGAATGAGACCCCAGGCTGTGCACTCCCCAACGGGGCACTCTGTAAAGAAAAGGTCTTCACGGATGAAGAATAAATGGAAAGGAAGCATGCTCTGAGCCGAGGAAGGTTTCAGCACCCTGCAGTGGGACGGCAGATTGTATTTTCCCCGGTATAGGTGATTCCAGATGAGATTTGGGGAGTAGAGGGGGTGTCAGAAAAACAGCAGAGAGGGTGTAAGAAAAAGTTAATCTTGGCATTCCTGCGGGGGCAGTGCATGTGGAGAATGGAGAGCCAGAGTTCACCAGGGGGCCAGGGTGGCACCGGGGGGGCCGGGGCGGCTCCAGGACTTAGGGAGGCTCTCTAATCACCACTTGCTCATATCCCAGTATAGCCTTTGTTCTCTCTACCACCTAATACTCGCAGCAATTTACAAAAAAAAGGCAGAAAGGAATCCAGTAAAACAACTTTTCAGAAAAGCTAAGAAAAGTTCTGAAGAGCAAACATGAGTTCAGAGAAAGGGCTGAGATTTTACCATCTTCCAGGTGGAATCTTTTACTTCAAAACAAAAAACAAAAAACAATTTAAGACACTGTTCAGCATGTCCATTAAAAAGAGGCCAACCCTGGAGACAACGCCCTGTGAACGGCCACCAATACAGCGGCTGTGTCACCTTACTGGGTGAATGGCTGTGGAGGCCAATACACTTTTTAGCAGTTAAGTCCTCCTGGCAGACCCACGAACTGCATCTCATTACGTTTTACACAGAGCCAGTTTGTTTCTATTTTCTTGAAGAAAATCATCAGTTTATCACTGCCAGAAAGGGGGTTTGGAAGGAAACTTTTCATTCAATGGAGTTTTCTAAAGAGTCCAAATTTTTTGGCAGGTCCTGTTTCTTTTGACTCTTTTAAAGGCAAAGTTAAAACTTTTTGAGAAAATTCAAGATGAGGTGATTTTTCCCATTGTTGGTGTTGCCGTGTGCCATTGAGTCAATTCCAACTCACAGCAACCCCATATGACAGAACCCATTAGGGGACATGAAACCTCTGCTTACCTGGTTCAGAGTTTTCTTTTCTTTGTGCACTTCCCGACTGCCTCTCCTTTTCAGGGAACTCTGAAATAGATCCAAGCAACACTGTGTTACTGAGAGCCAGGCACCTGGTCAACTCTCATCACCGTTTGGGTATACACAATGGATGGAGGTGCTTTCCTTCGCTGGAATCGAGAAGCAATTTAGGGTCAACGTTCACATGCAGTTGAATAAGTTTGGTGAGGTCCTCAAATCTTAAGAGGCTTTAAAACTTATTGCACTTGGGGGATTCTTCAATTATTCATGTTTAATGAAAAAGAAGGGTGGTTTGGATAACTTAGCACAGTACAGAGAGGACGAGAAGAATAGAAAGGTAGGAGTTTTGGACATAGACATGCAATATGTCTAGAGCTGTTTACCTTCCTAATTATGTTTTGTTTGGGCTAATATCAAAATTCACTGATGCTTCCTGGTGCCTACAGGTACAAGGCCAGATGAAAGAGTGGTAAGAAAGGCAGAATGGTGGCCCATGTTTATGGAGAAAACCTAATTTAGGCTGCAAAACTCTCCAAGAATAAAAGCAAAACAAAGCAAAGCAGGTGCTGTCAAGCAGATTCCAACTCACGGCAACCCCGTGTATGTCAGAGTAGAACCGTGCCCCATGCGGTTTTCAACGGCTGGTTTCTTGGCGGTGCCTCTAGGTGGGCTCAAACCGCCAGCCTTTCGGTTAGCAGCCAAGCGCGTTAACTGTTTGCACCCCCAGGGAATCCTCTCCACAAACAGCCCGCTCTAATCCATGATTAAAGCTCAGCGGTATCACAGTGTCCGTACCTGTGTGAGTTGGCTGTGGCTGTGGTCTGCAATGGGCGGGGTCCTGACTAGTTGATACGCATCACAGATGCACCTTAGCTGCTCTAAACAAGAAATTGCAAGTGTGTCTCAAATATAAACATGAATATTAATAAATGGGCCAAGTGTTGTCTGAAACAGAATTACAGGAAGCCAAGATATCTCCCACTAAGGTAAAGTGTGAAGACAGAAAGAAATGACCAGAGGAAGAGAGAGAAGCATCCTAGGGGAAGAAAGGGGATTTGAGACCTGAAAAGATTAAGTGAACCCTGAGAGGGGTGGAAGAAAGTCTGAAAAGTAAAGTTTTGCTGGACATCACTCTGATCTTGGCACCTCCAGAGGTAGGAGGGTTTTATCCCTGACCACCACCGCTCCCTCCTACGTCAGCCTCCGTCCTGGCGTGCTGACCTTGGGCCCCCAGCACGGCATCGTGAGGCAGGGGCAGGGCCCTGATCCTTGTCTCACTCCTCCACTCCTCCTCCATACAAACCAGTCTGGAAAGGAGGCTCCTGTGCAAATCACTTACATCGCAGTTAGAATTTAAGTTAATCAAGTAAGTTAACCATTTGCATTTTAAGCTTTTCACTCTCAGAATGCCAGGCCTTGCCACTTATTGAAGGGATTTCAGATTAAGCAACAATTAAAATCTGTTTTGGTAGTTGTTAGTTGTTGTCAAGTTGACACCTAACTCATGGCAACCTCATGCACAGTGAAATGCTGCCAGGTCCTGCGTCATCCCTGTGATCAGTAAGGGATTGGACGGCTGTGTCCATAGGGCTTTCAGTGATTGATTTTCAGAAGTAGATTGTTAAGCCCTTCCTCCCAGTCCAGCTTAGTCTGGAAGCTCCACTGAAACCTGTTCAGCATCATAGCAAAACGCAAGCCTCCACTGACACATGGGTCTCCCATAGGCAAGAATTCTACCACTGACCACTACTGTCTTAGTACTTAAAATCTAGCTGCCCTTTGGCCCCTAGCAGGCTGGAGGCCTGGGTATCTGGGAAAAAAATAGGTAACTGAGAGTAGGCCCTCTGGGCAAGGAGATGGAGAAGGCTGTAGAATCAGCAAGGTATGTCAGGCGTTCCCTGGTCAACAAAGAGGGCGGTGGTAGCTTGCTGCCAAACTCCAGCTGCAGAAGTGGCTTCAAGAATCAAAGGGCGAAGGATTCTAGACAGCCTTTTTGGTGAAAGCAAGGTCAAACTACAGAAACTGTCTCCTCCATTAGGTAAAGTCAAGAGTGGCTTCAGAATAGCTTGGGTTTTCCATCACAGAGAGCAGGTCTTCCACAAGTCCTCTGCTGCAGTGAGGGAGTTTCCTTCCCTTGAGTGAGCGGATAGAGATGAACATTTGTGATGATTCACTACAGGGAGGAGTTACAGAAAAGAGGTAGGGAGGAAAGCTGCTCCCCAAGGCTTCACAATCAAGGACTGGATTCTGGGGCGGTGCTACAACCAGAACTGGCACACCTCATCGCTTTCTCCTGAGGAATGGAAAACAGATGCTGTCCACGGGGGAGGTAAACCAGGATCCAGGAGTGAGGCAAAAGTCAAAAGTGGGAACAGACGTTTCTGTCAAGCTCTGCCCACTGGCGGGTTGCTGCATTTCAATGAGGGAGAAACGAGTGCCCCCCGTGTGAGCCTAGGAGGTGGGGGGGCAGGAGCCCGTGCCTGGGTCCTCAAGACTCGTCTGACGCGTCTCCCCCTCGCCAGCTGTTCTAATAACTGTAACCCTTCTAAGGAATCACCAAATATGTGGGGAGCCACGGGACCCCCAATGCAGATCCCATTCAAAATGAAAAACATTTCCAAGATTAAAGTTAGTAAGAAATTTGCAGGACCAATGTGAAAGAAACCATAAAACTTTGGCGAAAGGTATAAAAGAATGCTTAATGCAGCCTGTTGGGAAGACCCTATGTTGTGAAGATGTTGCATTTCTCCCAAATCATTTTATAAGTAAAATGCAATTTTAGTCAAATCTCCCCATATACACACACATATTTTTTTTTTGTGTGTGTGTGTGTGTGTGTGTGTGTGTGTGTGTGTGTGTGTGTGTATGAGATAAGAGGAAGGAAGGATTTGAAAAAAAGATTACAAAATTTATCTAGAACAAGGGTTGGCAAACTATGGCCCTCAAGACAAATCAACCCACTGCCTGTTTTGTAAATAAAGTTTTATTGGCACACAGCCTTTCTGACTATTATCTATGGCTGCTCTGCACTACTAGAGTAGAGCAGAGTAGTTGTCATAGAAACCCTACGGCCCACAAAGCCTGAAATATTTACTCCCTGGCCCTTCACAGAAAGTTTGCTGACCCCCAATCTAGAAAAATTGGTGAAAACAGCCAAGAACACTCTGTAAAGGAAGAATAATGAAGAGAGGCGTGTGCATTAGATATAAAAATACAATCAGGTTTGTTGCTGCTGCAAGAATAGACAGATCAAAGGTTCAGAAATAGATTCGAGAGTATACAAGATTTTAACAATTGATACAGGTAGCATTTTAAACCAGTAGGGAAAGAATGGGCTATTCTGGTATATGTTGGTGGAACAATTAGCTAATACAGGAAAAGAAAAAAAAATAGTGAGATCCATATACCAAATATCTAAATAAATCCCAGATGAACTAAAAATTTACTTGCAAAAAATTGTAAAGGATCTAGAAAGAAACAGATGAATTTCCATTTGTTTTGGGGGCGTGGCCTTTATAAACACAGAAATGTCTGCAGAAGAGGCTGGCAGATTGGTAAGATTTCAAATTTTTTATATAAAAAAAAAGCGCTTATCATATTAAAAGGTAAATGACAAACTGGAGAAAAGATTTTTCTTACATATGACAGACAAAAGAGTAACATGTTGCAAATCAGCAGGGAAACCACCTTCAGGAGAAAATAAACACACAGCCAATAAACGTGGGTAAAACCAAAAAACAAAACCAAACCATTGCCGTCGAGTCGATTCTGACTCCCAGCGACCCTACAGCACAGAGGAGAACTGCCCCACAGGGTTTCCAAGGGGCGGCTGGTGGATTCCAACTGCTGACCTTTTGGTTAGCAGCCTAGCTCTTAACCACTGTGCCGCCAGGGCTCCAAACATGATTGCTAGTCATTAAAACGGCGAGAGATCGTTTTCTCATTTGTATGACCTGTGTCAAAAGCGTACAGGGCACTGGGCAAGTACACACAGCAGCAGGAAGGCAATGTGGCCTTAAAATGTATATGCTGTGACCCAGTAGTTGCACCTCCAGGAGCATACCTAAGGGAGCACGCAGACAGGAGCAGAGACTGACGTGTGAGGATGCTCGACACAGTGCCTGCTACAGCAGTAACGAATGCTATGGAGGTATTAAAATGACGTTTTTGAGGAATAGGTAAGGATGCAGGAAATGTTCACAACACGGGTCACAAACAGCATGTATTTTGTGATCCCAGTTTTGTTAAAATATATATATGTGTGTCTATATATATATATATGGAGCCCTGGTGGCGCAGTGATTAAGAGTTTGGCTGCTAACCTAAAGGTTGGCAGTTCGAATCCACCCGTCACTTCTTGGAAACCCTATGGGGACAGTTCTGCTTTGTCCTATAGGGTTGCTATGAGTCAGAATCGACTCGATGGCAACGGGTATATATGCATACATGTGTGTATTCTAGAAAAGTGGACTAGAGGAATATATCACAAAACGTTAACAGTGATAATCATCGGGTGATAGAACGATGGGCGATCTTTAGTTTTTCTTCTTCGTGGCTTTCCAGTCTCCAAATTTCCTACAGCGAGTACTATTCCTTTTAGTTAAATTGAAATTTTTACTCTTTTCTAGGCAGAGTGCAGTGGTGCTTCATCAGAAGTTACTCGCCTGTCCATTTCGGCTTCCCTCCTTGGGTCTCTGCCATGAGATGAGACTTTTTTTTTTTTTTATTGTTGTGCCTTACATGAAAGTTTACAATTCAAAGTAGTCTTTCATACAAAAATCTACACATACATTGTTATGTGACCCTGGTTGCTCTCCCTATAGAGTGACAGCACACCCCTCCTTTCCACCCCGGATTTACCGTGTCCATTCAACCAGCTCCTGACCCTCTCTGCCTTCTCATCTCGCCTCCAGACCGGAGCTACCCATTTAGTCTCTTGTATCTACTTGAGCTAAAAAGCACACTCTTCACGAGTATAACTTTATGGCCCATAGTCCAGTCTAATCTTTGTCTGAAAAGTTGGCTTCAGGAATGGTTTTAGTTTGGGG